GAAACCCCAGAATAAACCAAACAACTCTGACCAGGCCTGAAGGTTATGGGTAACAAGGAGAGGGGGAGATACAGCGCTCACTCAAATGGTAGCAGGTTCTGTTAATTGGATACCCTAACAATCCAAGGGAAAAAAATCCATGTGATCCACTTGAGAAAGCCTGAGGGCGAAACCAGTTGTGACTATTCAGAAGGACTTTTTAATTTGGTTTTATTTCATTTTTTGTGGCATATTACAATAAATATTGTTTTTACCCTCAAAGTTTAGTTTTGTTATATTTTTTTATCCTGCATTTATTTTATCATCTTAAAGGAGCCATGCCTGAGACCATCACAACATCTACCTCTACTCATATATATCCTTGGAGGGGATCATTCCACCTAAGCTGATATAATTGAGCATAAGGTGCTCTTATATTTGTGAGTAATTTTCATACTTTTCCACACACTTTTATTGGTTTGAAACAGTGAGTACCATGTCCTGTTTTTATTCTTTCATATGTTGCTTCCACTGTGAACGCTCAAAGAGAAAAATTCCAGTTTCATCCCTGAGTGGGGATCATACCAATCAGAGCCTTATCTAAGAGCTGATTGGAAGCACTATCCTTGTAAGTGTATTGTTTTTCTTCACATTATTGAGATATTGAACATACTGGGTTGCACTATTGTTTTTTCTTTTCTGCCTATATTTAACATGAGATGCCAATAACATAACTCCCTACCTCAATCAAAACCTAATTTATTTGAACGCCAAGGAGGACTTTTGACTAAACTACACTAAAGCAGCAACTCTTCAAAGGCGTATAGAAAAAAGACCATTGTTTTATTCCTCTGGGACTTTTTATCTAAGTTATTTCAATCACTATTTGCTTTTACTATATTTACATATATATATATATATATATATATATATATAGTAAACCCAAATAGCGATTGAAATAACTTAGATAAAAAGTATATATATATATATATATATATATATATATATATCCATACTTATTTCAATTTATATTTGGCGCAAATAATTTTTTTCTTATTTTCTACTTAAAGGTTTTGGGTACCTAGGACTATTGGATATTTCTATGTCCTGCACCCCTGGTATGCATTCATGAATCCACACTTAGTGGCAACTTGATACTCAGAAATTATGTCCTCACCTAAAATCTATTCCATATATATGCTCTGCCCTGGTAGTTGACAAGCATTACCCTACAATTTGCACTGTACTTGACTGTGAGCATCTGGAATAGAGTAATAGTCTCTCACAGGCTCTACCACTTCTATACGTCTAATTCAATTATCACACAACCCCTCACTTATGACAAATCTTTTGGATTGTAACATGTAACCATGCCACAACCACTTATGTACCTCTGCAGGATATCCATAAGACCTCACTCCCTCCATCAATTTACAAATAACAACCCAAATCGAATTACAACTTTATAGATAACTGTAGGCAATATCAATTACTTACTTATATTCAATCTATACCATATCTGGATGTTATTTTGTGTCCTCTTACTGAGTTTGAGGAGAGATTCGTGCAGCAGACTGCAAAGCCACATGTAATGCCTACCTGGTACGAGACTCTTCTTAAAACATTGATGAAGTCTTTAACAGATTTCAATAAACAATAGGAGAAAGACCTAGAAAGAACTTTAGCCACATCACAATGGCTGAAGAATTTATGAAAGAACCAATACTATCGAAATCTGAACGTTTTGTAAAATGAAAACAGGAGACACTCTTCACACATAAAACATTTAAGCAAGGTAAACTGCTTTAGAAGTCTGAAGAGTCATTTTAATTTGCCTCTTCATGAGGATTGAGCCCATGGGTGTCCACAGGAGGGAACAAGGAGGGGCACTTAACCCTTCCCCACAGGCAATTTTTTCCCACAGTCTGTGACAGCTCAGTTGAGCGAAAGATGGAGCGACATGCTGGGGGCCGTATTTAGGCAGCAGAGCAGGGAATCCCTCAAATCTATGTTCAGGGAAAATTCCTCGAACATAGACCAGCTCTCTAACGTGGAGAATCACTTGAAGCTCCATGCTAGAGAGCTGGTAAGTGCGAGCCATCGTAAAGCAGGTAGGTTGTGAAGTGAGGACCAGCTGTTTATACACACACACTACATGGCACAATGACTTACACTTTTTCCAGGGCTGTTTTGTATCCCAGGTCTGGCCATGTAAAAAGGGCCTGAGAATGGATGTCATTGAACCATTAAACTTTAGAGGTGAATTTTATGAATGGCCACCATACTCATGGAAATTGGCATCATTGGCATGACTTCATACAAGGTGAGGGTAGGTTTATGGCAAGGAACTTACAAATTTTTTACACTATTTAAACTGAACCTGTTATGAATAGTTTAACTTGCTCCCATTTATATTGAATACACTATATAGCAAGGTACATGGTGTGTTCAATGTAAACATCAAATATTTACTCACATCTCCTCTGTTCCAGCGTCACCATTTCTATGCTTCATGGGAGTTACTCTTTGCGTAACACCAACTTCTGGATCTACACTCCTCCTCTGCTCCGCCTCTGTTCTTCTTTGATTTGCCCTGCTCGAGGGAACATCCCCAATCAGAGCAAATCTTCTCTATGATGTTTGCATGCTGTCTTAGTTGGTAAGCTGAAACATTGGTTGAAAACCCTGTTTTTAAATAGGTTTTTCTCTTAATCTATACATTTGTTAGCAAAGCTGTTAGCACAATGTAGAAATAAAATGTTGTGCTCAATCTAAAGAGCATATGTTATTTGAGGCATGACAGGTTCTCTTTAAGCATCTAGCATTTTCTATTTATAGAAGTAATAGTTAGTGCGCAAATATTAAACCACTAATATAAGTGTATGCCACAGAAGTGACTGATAAAACGCAATTAAGTGAATATGTGCTCAATTCAAATAGTGTGGAAAGAGCATGCAGGAATCAAGATAAAATACAATAATTATGGTATTCAACAGTGACAAAGCTCACTTATATACTTGCATAGTATAACATCCAAATCTAAAAGGAATAAAAAGCAAAAAAAATAGTGCAATATTGCCATGACTCTTAACCCCTTAAGGACCAAACTTCTGGAATAAAAGGTAATCATGACATGTCACACATGTCATGTGTCCTTAAGGGGTTAAACCCCTCCATCAACCAAAAAACCTCTAAAGGTAAACAACTCACAAGATGAGAGTGGTTAAAGTACAACTCATAACATAAAGCTCAGGGAGGATCATCCCCTTGATTGAGCCTTATTACCAAGTTTTTTTTTCTATTGGTTGCAGCAATATTTACCTATTTTTTCTTTCTGGTACAATATATTGGGTTCTGTCTCACTCTGCGCCACTTTGTTTATCTATTTTTGGCATAGCTTTTTTTATTTGAAATTTCCTACTGAAAAAATCATTACATCAAATTGAACTCTTCAAAATGTGCTTCTGAATTAACAAGTTTAGTATAAATTTGGAGGCAATTTAGTATATGATAAATGTCTTAAGTCCTTTACTTTCGATTGAATTGAACACTGTTAAGCAGGCACAAAATTGTTTAAAAAATAAAATAGCCAATTCATTGCTAATCTGCATATTTGCTAAATAGTGAGCAAACTGTATCACACTGATACAGGAACCACCACCTGCAAACTACAGACATGATAACCACTTTAACACATTGCCTCTTTAACTAATACAGCTATACAATTTTTGTTCAGTTGATTTCAAGTTATTTGGCAAAAACTGAGAACACCCAGAATTCTTCCACTTTCTTGGAACGTAATCATTTTGAAGTTTCTCTTTCTCAGGCAAGAGAGGATAACTATGAGACCATCTATTATTGTGCTGTGATACACAAGATAAACTATACACATTTGGTATCATATAGTACTACACAGTGGTGGAACTAATGTTGAGAGGTCCCTTGTGCAAAAACCCCCTCCCCATCACATCGCTTTGCCATCCTTGCAGCATTGTATTTAGCACTGAGCAACATGTGTGTGTTTGAATTGCATTTTTGGTATGGAGTAGTTGTTTGCAAATGTAGGTGTGTGTTTTGATGTACTGTTGGTATTTAATTGCAAAGGTGTGTTTTTATGTAGTGTTGACGTTTGAATGCAGTGGTGTGCTTGTGTGTAGTGTTGGCATTTGCATGTTGAAATGTAAGCACATATACAAATACATTGCCACACACACTGATACACATACACACCCTGGCACATGTGCAGATAGACAGATATACACACTGGCACAGATGCAGACACATTGACACGCAGATACACACACAGATATACACATACAAACACACAGACATACAGATACACACAATGACACACATCTAGACACAGACATACAGAAACACACAATGACACACATACAAATGCAGAGATAGAGATTCTGATAACATAGAGACACACTCAGGGCCGGACTGGCCCACCGGGATACCGGGAAATTTCCCGGTGGGCCGCAGCACCTGGGGGCCGGCCGCGTTCCTGGCTGGAGCCGCCGGGCCGGGTGGCAGCTTCCCCAGTCCGGCGGCCCTGCTCC